AACATAATGAAAACCATTTATGAAAAACCCAAAGCTAACATTGTCATCCATGGGGAAAAACTGAAAGCTTTTCCACTAATATCTGGTACAAGGTAAGGATACCCACTCTCACCATTTCTATTCAACATAGTACTAGAAGTACTAGCAAGAACAATCAGACAAGAAAGAAAAAAAAGCCACCTAAATTGGAAAGGAAGAAGTAAAAGTATCTCTGTTTGCAGATGGCATAATTCTTTATATTAAAAAAACCCAAAAAGTTTCACAAAAAAACTGTTAGAATAAATGAAATCAGTAAAGCTACAGGATATAAAATCAACAAAAAAAAAGCAGTGTGTATAAAAAACTTGTTTTTTATACACAAATAACCACCTAACTAAAAAAGAAATCAAGAAAATAATACCATTTGTAATAGCATAAGGAAACAGTCAACAAAATGAAATAGCAGCCTACAAATTGAGAAAAAATATTTGCAAACCATAAGATAAGAATGGGCTTATTATCCAAAATTTACAAATAGCTCATACAACTCAATGTTAGAAAACCAAATAATTCAATTTAAAAATAGGCAAAAAATCTGAATAGACACTTCTCCAAAGAAAACCAAAATTGACAACAGGTATACAAAAAGGTGTTCAACATCACTAATCAATCATCAGGGAAATGCAAATCAAAACCACTATGAGATACTACCTCACACCTATGAAGATGGTTATTATCAAAAAGTCAAAAGAAAACAAATGTTGGCAAGAGTGTAGAGAAAAGGGAATTCTTGTACACTGCTGGTAGGAAGATACATTGATACAGTCACTATGGAAAACAATATGGAGCTTTCTAATGAAATTCAAATATAACTACCATAAGACCGAGCAATCCCTCTTCTGGGCATATACCCAAAGGAAATTAAATCATCGTTTCATAAAGATATCTGTGTTGTCATTTTAACTGCATCATTATTCACAATAGCCAATATAAGGAAAGAACCTGAGGATCCATTGACAGGTGAATGGATAAAGAATTTGTGGTACATATATATTAATACAATAGAATGTTACTCAGTTTTCAAAAAGAATACCTTGCCATTTCCTGCACATGAATTGGCCTGGAGAAGGACATTATGGTAAGTGAAATAAACCAGACCAAAAAAAAAAAAAAAGTACATGATCTCACTTATATGTGGAATCTAAGAAAGAAAAAAAATCAAATAGACAGAGATAGAGAACAAAATAGTAGTTACCAGAGGCAGAAGCAGAAGAGGGAGAAAGATGAACATGTGGAGATATAGGTCGGAGAATACGAAGTAGCAGATATGTAGAATGATTAAGTCTAGAGATCTAGCATACAACATAAGGCTATAGGTAATAAAATTGTACTGTACATGGGAATCATGCTAAATGAGTAGATTTTAGCTGCTCTTGCCATAAAAACGGGTAACTGTGAGATGATGGATATGTTAATTTGCTTCACTACAGTAATCTTTATACTATCTGTATGTATCCCATAACATCATGTTGCATAACTTAAATATACAAACTAAAATTTATTTTAAAAAATAAATAAGAGAATAGATACATTTAAACTTGAGTTATTTGGGGTGTGGGAAGGGGATGGATAGGACAGGGAGGGGCAAAAATTTGGAGGATGATGGATATGTCATTTTGTTGACTATTTCCCAGGTATATATTTATGTCAAAACCTATCAATTCATATGCTTTAACTATGGGCCATTTGTTCTGTGTCAGTTATACCTCAATAAAGATTAAAAAAAATTTTAAAGACTTCTGGATAGAAAATTATAAGACATTATTGGAATGATATGCTAACATATATTAACATAACATTGAATTAGAAAACTCAATATTGTAAAGATTTCAATTCTCTCCAAATTGACCCAGAGAAACAATGTAATCCAATGAAAATCCTAGCAGGTTTTTAATAATGTCACATGTTGATTCTACAATGCACACAAAAATACAAAGAACAAAGAACACACAAGACAAGCTTGAAGAATAAAGTACAATAACTTACTCTACCCATATCACAACTTATCACAAAGCAACAGCAATCAAGACAGTGAGATACTGGCACTGGGATGGACAAATAAACTCGAGGATCAAACAGAGTCCAGAAGCAGATGCTTCCACATGTGAATGTTTGATTTATGACAAAGACAGGACTATAAAGCAGTTAGAAAAGGGTGATCCTTTTAATAAATGGAACTGAATCAACTGGATATCCATATAAAATGTATTCCCTTGCTCCACACCATAAACAAATACCAAGTCTAAGTAGATACTAGATCTCAACGTGAAAGGTAAAAAAAACCCTAAGCTTCTAGGAGACTGCATAAGAGAATATCTCAATGATCTAAGGATAGGAAACAGTTTCTTAAACATGTCAAAAAAGCTCTTACTACAAAAGAAATGATGGAAAATTAAACTGCATTAAAATTCAACAGAAGGCCCCATTAAGAGAGTTTTAAAAATGAAAAGAAACAAGCTGTGGAATAGGAGACAATATCTATCATGCACATAACTGATAAAATGCTCATATAGAATATATATATAAAGATCATCTACAAAACCATAACTGAAATACAAGCAACCCAACAGAAAAGTGAGCAAAAGACGCAAACTAGCATTTCAGAAAACAAAATATCCAATAGCCTACAAACATAAAAAGATGTTCATAATCATTAGTAATCATGAAATGCAAAGAAAAATCATAAAGAGATACCATAAACATCTGTTATAATGGTTATGATTAAAAAGCCTGATAAGAGCAAGTGTTGAAAAGGATGAAGAACATGAATCCTCATCCTGTTCGTGGGAGTGTAAATTAGTTTGACAGCCTTAGAAACCTATTTATTGGTATCTACTAGATTTGGAGGAACCCAGTAATTGCACTTCATGTTACATAATATCAGAAATGCATGTCCATGTACAATAAAATATTGAATAAAATTAGTCACAGCAATATTGCTCATAATAACCCAAAACATGAAATAATTCAAATATCTATCATAGAAGATTAAAATATATGGCTTTATAGCCATACAATGGAATACTAAAGAGCAATCAAAATGAACAAAATGCAAGAACCTGACACACATCCATAAACATCACAATCGTAATGATTAACAAAAGAAATTAGACACAAAAAAACACATCCTATATGATTCTATTTGTACAGGAAGCATAAAACAGGGAAAAGTAATTTATAGGGTTAAAAGTCCAAACAGTGATTACCTTTAGAAAGGAAGGAGGAATTAGTGACTTAGTGATCAGGAGGAGAAATGATCGGGAAGAGGCTTCTTGGGTACTGGTAATATTTTATTCCTAGATCTCGATGGTGGTTACACGAGCATATTTGTCTTATAATAATTCATCGAGCTATACTATGATATATGTACTTTTCCATATATGCACTATGCCTCCAAATTTTAAAAAGTAAACACAAGAAAAAGAAGACAAAGCTTTATCAGCTTCCCTTTTCAGGTGGCAGGTTACAATCTAGAATTTATGAGAATTTAGGATCTTAGTGATAGCAAAAAACAATTTTTTTACATAGAATTTACAAGAAGAGCCAGAATATCATTTTGGTAAGTTAAAGGAGGAACTTAGAGCTACATTGTTAAATGTTTACATTTCAGTTCCTGTTTAGAAAATATATAAAACAGACAATGGCGCAGATTCCTTGCTGTGTGAACCACTGTAATTAACCAAGGAATGTACCAATCTGTTAATCTGGAAAGAACTTTATTTGGAGGATGTGATGTTTTAGGTATTTTAGACTAGTTCAATTTAAGTTGAAGGTGCCCTTGTTATGCCTGAAAAAAATCTAGGACTTCAGGTAAAAAAAGAAGTATCCCATAACCTGATAACACATTAGATGCCACATCAGCACACACTAACCGAAAAGATTTTGTCTACTGCAAGAGAAGACAGACATTATATCTTCACCTTTCTGGGGCTCTTCACAAAGAAATTAGCACAAAAAACACAGAAGAAAGATACTTTTATGTAGCCAGGTGTTTATGCATATTTTGAAAAGTTCGAGTCTCACTGCAAGAACAGCAATAATGAATTGATCTCTTTAAAAATAGATCACACCCATCTCTTAGCACATGCAGGCAATAAATTCAAACTTCAAAATGAACTCAGAATAACAATGTAAGGAATTGTTAACACAGTGACAACTGGAGAAAAACTGTTTTTTCTAAGAAACTTTCAATTTGAATAAAATATCTCAAAAAAAAAAAAATTCTGCTAACTCTCCTAATCTTACAAAAACACAAAGTATTACGGGAGATGAATAAATACACATTGCTCCTCAAGTTGACAAATTTAAAACAGTTTTGTGATAATTCCTATTGATAATTTTCTCCTAAAAAACAAAACTGATGATACTAATACATGGACCCTTTTTGCACTTTATTTTTTACCTAAATTTCACCGAGGATGATGATTTAATAAAAAATAAATCACTGAAAAATGAGTGTCAACAATCTATATGAGATAATAAAACTTGGGAATTACAGGTGTTTTCCATTGGTGCCATATCAAACAAAAACAGAGAGCCAAAGAGGTCTTTGTAGCAATTGTGATTATACACTTATGTGAGATGACCTGAAAATACTTAATGGAAAATGCTACACAGCCACTACAAAAAGCATTCTGCATTTCTCAAATATAATTTAATAAAAAGATAGAAGAATCACTGAACCAATAAAATTTAAATTATCTTTTAACTATCCATAATAAAACTCAAAAATGAAAGCAAATGTTAATTCTATGTCTAATATACTACTACTGTGATATTTCAAACTTAAATGCCTAAAATTTATGAACATTTTATATAAGAGCAACAAGAACATATTTTTAGACAAAATGACATATAACATCCAAAAGGTTAAACTCTACTAATCTTTACTGTGATTATAACCAATCCAGTCACCCACCTACATATGAAATAAAACTTTTTATAGATAAAAGAGTTCTCACCACTTCTTTTTTCTGGGCTTCATTAAGTTTTTCAGTCAATTCTTCCAAAGCCCTTTTTGTTTCAGCATCCGACCTAGGCAAACGAAGAAAAAGATTTTAAGTTGGATATTTGAGAAAATATACAGAATTAGTGAAATTACAACATGGAATTTACAATTTATTCCTTAACACTCTACTGCAGTGGTTCTCAAACGTTAGTAAACATATGAAGCACTTGCAGGACTTGTTAAAACACAGACTGTGGACTCTACCCCCAAAATTTCTGAATCAGCAATTTGAGATAGGGCCCAAGAATGTGCATTTCTACAAATTCCTAGGTGATGCTGCAAGTCTGGGCACCAAACTTTGAAAACCACAGCTACACTGGAATATCAGCCTCAGTAAATAAACATGCTACAGTATCTCTCATTTTTAATAAAGAAGAAAGGAAAAGAAGCAGGGAGGAAGAGAACAAAACTCTTGATTTCACACCTTTTCTTCTAGCAATTTGTAATTAAATTACATCAGTGTGCTGTGTAAATTCTATCCTCACTAACTTATCTCCCTCCCATTACCTTTTTCCCCATGAAATTTATAACATACATGATAAAAAAAAAATCAGTACAGAAAGACTTATAAAACAAAACAAACAAAAAAAAGCCTTTCTGTCTCACACTTTCTTGCCTCTGGCTCCATTTCCCTCTAGCAACCAAGCACAACCATTTCCATTCTTAATTTTTTTACTGGTTACTTTAGTCATTTTCAGCTCCAGACATTTTTGATTGACTCCTGTTTTCAAACACTTAGCTCACTCTCCAATTTCCAATTAATTTATTATTTTCAGTTCTTCTAGAGTCACCTGTGTAATTTTACATAATATATTTATACATCTTATGAATTATTCCATCATAGTCAAATTAATGCTTTCTTGCTCACATTCTATCATGCTCACATTTTAGTTGGCTTCACATTTGGATCACAACATTCAAATGCTTTTGGTTTTTCTAGGATTTCTCATTATCATTTGGCCTTCTATTGGCCTTATGTATCACATCCATTGATATTTTCCTCCCACTTCTTACTAAATCATCTATGAGTAATCTACTCCATTCTTGTTGACTACGTTCTTCACAAAGGTTACTGACTTTTCTGCTTTAGAGTGAATACTTCCTGGGCCTGCTACATGGCTGCCATTCTGGAGTCACTTTCAGTAGATCCCTAGGTTAGTTTTGCTATTTCTTAAAATAAGTATCTTTCTCTTTCTGGGTTATAATCTTATTTTACTTGTATGTCCTTAGAAAATTTCCTCAAAAAGAAGTTACCTTAAAAAGGTAAATTTTCTAAAATGCTACATCTCTGAAAATGCCTTTATTTTTACCTCTTTCTTAGCTTTTATGGTTCCATGCTCTCCTGGACTTCCCACATCTCACTAGCTGTTCCTTCTTAGGCCAGTTCTCCTCATATAAGACTCCTAAATACTGAAACTCCATGCCACTCGGCCCTGTCCTTGATGCTCTCCCTATAATTTTTCTCTTGATATTATCCATCCCATAGCTCCAAATGCCACTTTTACATGCTAACCAGTCTTAAATTTATACCTCTAACATAGACTTCTCCTTTGAGCTCCAGCGTAATAAATATCTAGCTGCATATTTTACATTACTATTTGGATATTTCACAGGCATCTCAGACCTAATATATCCAATGCTGAATTCTTAATTTCTACCCTTCACCTACACCAACCAGTCTTCCATATCTCAGGAAGTAGGACTATCATCTACCCAGTTACTCAAATCAAAAATCTTAGAGCCATCCTTGGTTTATTCTCCCTCACCCCCCATATCCAATCCATTACCAAATCACATCTCTTTGATTTCCAACATAATCTTGAAACACACCTCTGTCCATCACTCTCTTGCCATAATTCTTGTCAAACTATCATCAACCCTCATATGCTAAGAGAACAGACTTCTAACTCACACTCCTTAAATCAATTCTTCATATGTCATCCAAAGTAGGTGAGTTCTGAATTAAAATTCATTTAATTAATTTAATTAAAATTCATTTAATCATTTCCAAAAGCTCCCTTTCCAGTCTACTTTTTTTAGTCAATGTCCTTTTGCAACAGATGTCAATAAATATGAAAAATCAGTAATTAAATGAAAATACCAATCTTTCTGAATAAAATAAAAAGTTAAACCTTTTAACTCCTACCAGGTATTTTTATGAACATGAATTAAGAATCTATGATACAAGTAAAGCAGAACTGGATCCTAAAATTTTACTTATCCACAAAGTTAAGCCACCTCATTTCATAAGAAACTTGATTCTTCTTTTGGATTAAATAAAGTTTCTCTGCCTCAAGAATGCCTCTGACTCATAAAGACCAGATGGTACTGGCCTATAGATCAGAAGAGTCCCAGTTCGACACTGCACATTCAAATGACCATTTAAACTAATCAACTAAATCATCCCTGCAATTTCCCCTGTATCTTCTTACAGGACAACTATTTCCTGAAACTCATGTTCCCAGTGTTTGGTTTATACTTTCCCTTGAAATACAAAAAAGCTACATAATAAAACCATTCCCAAGAACACAAATCTAAAATGTTAATGCTATTTTGTTAGATTTATCAACTTATCAAAAAAAATCTAAGTGTTAAATTAATTTAGTCTTACCAATTTAAAAGATTAAAAGTATAGCTCAATAATACTGCTCACAATTCAGGAATTTAAATGCTTTATTCATATCAACAACATGTGAAAATGATTTTGAATCACAGTATACTGTAAGTGGTAAAGAGCAGAGATTTTGAAGACTTACAGACTAGATTTAAATTCTGACTCCACTACATCCTTCCTGTTTCATCTTTGGCAAGCTGAGTTATTTCCTCTCTCTGTGCCCACTTCCTCAACCATAAAATGGAGAAAATAATAATGACTACCTCATAGGGTTGTTGCAAGAATCAAATCTTTCTAGCATAAAATAAGTACTCAATTATTAGCTAATAGTACCAGTGATAACAGTAGCAGAGTCTTTTATCCTTACTGCTAAATTTCTTGCCTGCCTCTTCTAAAAGGAGGAAAGTTAAGCAGACTATATTTGATATCCACAGCTTTAATATTTATAATTTTGACTCTTTTTGTTGCAGAAACACAAAACTGGAGTGCAGTGTGACTTAGGTAGCTGGAACATAGTAAACAAATTTCAATTTCAGTTTTCTCATTCCCTAATCTTCACTATACATAGATTATAACTCTTAATAAAAATATAAAATATAAAAGTTATTTGATTTCATTATATTATATTTATATATATTATTATATATTGTTATATATAATATATATTATATTATAATACATAAATATTTTTATATGTTATTTTATTATTATATATTTTATATGTTTAATATATATTAATATTTAAAATATATTTAATGTTTATATTTTAATATATAATAAATTTATAAATATAATATATTTATTTAATATTTAATAATATATATTTTATATATTTAATATATAGTATACATAATATATGATACTAGGATATATATTATATAATATTTTATATATTAAAACAAAGATATAAAAATCTTTGTTTTTTAGAAAAATATGGCCTCCAAAAGAAAGCCTCCTACCACTGACAATGATGAAAATAAAAAGACAGTGAAGAAGTTTTAAATTAAATGATAGCTCTTGGGGACTTTCCAGAATTGACAAACTTGCAAAGACTGGGCAGATGTTAACCACTGACTTTTGAAGATTTCAACTAAAAGCGAAAGTATCAGATTTCACAATGGCTCATGTCCATTAACAAATTCTACATTACACTTCTTTTTCTGCAATGCCAAGGATCAGTCTCTGACTCGCTCTCTCTAATGTGTTCATAAAGCTATCTCTTTGCTAAGCTCTTACAATGTGTCGCTCCATAATGTCAACATTCCATTGTATTAAGGTAAAGTGGTTTTAGAAATATGAATTTTTCTAACACTGAGTCATGATATAGTCTAAATTCAAAGGCCACTGAAGTAGTCTATTAATAAATTTGAAGATACTAGTAAAAACACTACACTGTTTTTTAAATCCATGTAAACACGTCAATTACAGAAGCCAATTTATCCTCCTAATAATTTATGCCTCCCCTGAAAACCATATTCTGCTTTTACCGGCTTCTTCTGGAAAATTCCCTGTTGAAATCATCTCCAAGGCGAATTTGTTCACTGCTGAGGTCTCGGAGGGACTGATGAAAAGCATGAAGCTAGCAAAGACAAAACAGAGTTATCCATTTAGAGTTCTACTGAATTCTTCCAGTAAGATTTACTGAAGGTAAGAATAAGATCTTGTTCTTTGCAATAATGACCAAATTCTATAATCTTACTAAGAAAGAATAAAATAAATACCTATACTGAAAGAAAGAAAATATTTTTTCAAAGGGAAGCAATTTTTAAAAAGCAATATATAACATTAACCATCACCTTCTCTATAGTGCAGCAATTCTACTCCTTGTACATACTCTAGAGAAGTCTGCAAACTTTTTCTGTAAAGGGTGCAGTAGCAAATATTTCAGGCTTGCAAGCTGTATCATCTCCATCACAATTACTCAATTTTAACACTGTAGTGCAAAAGTAGCTATCAACAAATAAGCATGGCTGAGTTACAACAAAACTTTATTCTATCCGCCTAAATGCCTGAGTTTCCCAAACCTTGCTATAGAAAAATTCTTGCCCATCTACACTAGGAACCCTGTATAAGAAAGTATGAAGCAGCATTATTTATAAAGAGAACACAAGAAACAAACCAAAAGGACAGCAAGAGTAGAAAGGCAATAAACAAACTGCAGTATATTCCTCCAGTGGAATACCATAAGCATTGAAATTAAATGATGAAAGCTACCCACACAGTAGTTAGGTTGAATGTCAAAAACATAACATTAAATAAGCAAACGACAAAAGATTATAGTAGTATTCCATTTATACAAAGTGTGAAGGCAGGCAACACCAAACAAGATGTAGGTAGTAAATATATATATATTTTTAAAAAGCAAAATAATGATAAAAATAAAATTCAGGATAGTGGATACCCTTTGGGGAAAGAAGGTACCTAAAAGAGGCTTGGGGGTATGACAGTGCTTTATTTCTTGGCCTGGGTGGTGGTTCCATGGTGTTTATTTTCATTATTGTATCTTTAACTATAAATATATATGCTATACATGTATTTGTATGCTATAGTTTATAATAAAAATTTATAAGATTTATAAGTTATACAGACGTGCAGTAACAATGAACTGATTCATTTCAACAAACGTACATTGAGCAACTAATCAGTGCCAGCTACTGGGAAACAAGTGGCTCACAATTTGGTATAGGAGACAGATATGTAAACAAACCATAATTCTTTACTGGGAGAATTAAGAAAGTCCATAGTCAAATAGAGCTAAGGGTCATCTTAAGAAAATAGAACTTAAAATAAGGAAGAACAATAAAAAGAAAGGAGTGGAAGTAGTTTAACGAATGAACAAGCCATCCACTTAGGATGTGCCATCATGATTTCCCAATTTTCCCAACCAGAATCCTAGGACTCATCTTGACATCTCCTTTTCACTCATTTCTACCTTCCCCACACGGCTACCTATTCTTCAAGACCTTTCAATTTTATCCACTAAATAGTTTTTAATTCTATCCCCATTATCTCCAACTCTATTTTTTCAAATCAAGTGACCAAAAATTCACATCCAGACCACAGCAATATCCTCCTAATTAGTATGGCTACATTGACTCCATTTCCACATTACAGCCAGTGTGATTGATCTTTTAAAAATAATTTTGTCAGTGCCTTACAAGGCTTTGCATGATCTCAGCCCTTTATACTTCTTTAGCCACGTGGACTTCTTTAAATTGTTCATAGGTGCTATCCTCCCTTTTGCCAAGCTATTTGTTCTACCTAGAATGACTCTTACTCAACTTTCAGATCTAAGCTCAAACAACCTTTCTTTAGGAAGACCCTTAACTAGGGCAGGTCCCTCTACCATACACTCCTATAGTCCTATGCTTCTTTCCACTATAGCATGCATCTCAAAGTGCATAATTATGGATATATTTATGTACTTATTAGATTAGTATATTCTATTAATATCTAGCTGCCCCTCTAGATTATAAACTCAATGATAAGGCAAGGATTTTGCTCTTCATTGTTTCCAGGTATAAGCACTATCCCAACAACAGGGGCACTAACAGAATGAAAGAATAAATGAGTTATGTGAAGGTATTGTTCTCTGCTCTAGGTTTAATCATATAGTCCACACTAGTAAGTTATATCTACCAAAAAATAACATATGCAAGAAAAAGTTTCCACAAGGTATTTTCTAATGTATTTGGTTCTGTTATCACTTAATCTTATGCTATAACAGGCGACAGCTACAGGTATGTATACTGGCACAAGCTTTGCATGCCCAATCCTAAAACTACCAAAGCAAAAAAGGTCAAAGTTAGAAACTTCCCCTAGCCCTTTTCTAATTAATTTAGCTTCCCAAGATAACAAAAGAAAAAATTTCAGCTTGGCAGAGAACTTTAAAGAAGCAAGAAAAGAAATATATCTATAGAACTAATACTTCAGAAATCTTTAGTGAATACATAAGGTATGGAATTCTTACTTAATAGAAAATGGCACCATCAATTATTCAACAATCAAAAAATATTAATGGTGGGAAAATCAATAGGTCAATCACACAAGGACTAACTTGTTCATACTAAACCAAACTTAGCAAAATAGAAAGTAGCTAACTTAGCAGGACTTAGAGAAGAATGAACCACCCAAACAAGAAAGGAAGCAAGAAAACATGTCTAACTCACTTTTAAATATTCTACAAAATATAATCCTCCATAACAAAATTCAAAATAAACATGGTGATGATTCATGCATTGAAAATAAAATAGTTTACTTGGACAATCTTGAAATTCATATAGAACCACAAAAGACTCTAAATATCCAAAACAAACATAAGCAAAAAGAACAAAGCTGGAGGCAGCACACTTTGTGATTTCAAAACACTATAAAGTGATGATAATCAAAACAGTATGGTACTCATATAAAAATAGACACATCAACCAATGGAACCAGACAGAAAACCTAGAAATAAACCCACACATTTATAGTCAACTGATTTCTGACAAAGCTGCCAAGAGCACACAATGGAGAAAGGACAGTTTCTTCAATAAACGGTGTTGAGAAAACTGGGTATCCACATGCAGAAGAAGGAAACTAGACTCCTGTCCTGCCCCATATTAAAACAATCAACTCAAAATGGATTAAAGACTTAAATATAAGACCTAAAACTGTAAAACCACTAGAAGAAAAAATAGAGGAAAAGCTCTAAAACATTGGTATGGTCAATGATTATTTGGATATGATTCCAAAAACACAGGCAACAAAAGCAAAAATAGATAAATGGGATTATATAAAATTAAAAAGCTTCTTCACAGCAATGGAAACAATTAATGAAGTGAAGAAACGACCCACAGAATGGGAAAAAATATTTGCAAACCACACATCTGAAAAGGGGTTAATATCAAAAATATATAAGGAACTCCAACAACTCAATAAGAAGAAGATAAATAACCCAATTTAAAAATGGGCAAAGGATCTGAACAGATATTTCTCAAAAACCAACCAACAATCAAATGGTCAATAGGTACATGGAAAAAATGCTCCATATTACCAAACACTAGAGAAATCCAAATGAAAAACACAATTACCTCATACCTGTTAGAATGGTTTTTATCAAAAAGATGAAAAATAAGTGTTAGAGAAGATGCAGAGGAAGGAGAACCCTTGTATACTGTTGGTGGGAATGTAAATTAGTATAGCTATTATGGAAAACTATACAGAGGTTCTTCAAAAACTAGAAATAGAACAACCAAATGACCTAGTAATCCCATTTCTGCATAGATATCCAAGGTTACTGAAATCAATGTCAAAGGGATATCTGTGCTCCCATGTCCACTGCAGCTTCTTTATAACAGTCAAGATATGGAAACAACCTAACTATCCGTCAACGGATGAATGGATAAAGAAAATGTAGTATATATACATAATGGAATTCTTTCAGCCTTTAAAACAGGGAAATCTTGTCATTTGCAACAACACAGATGAATCTACAGGACATTATGCTAAGTGAAATAAGCCAGACACAGAAAGGTTAAATACCACATGATCTCACTTATATGTTTACTCTTTGGAACTCATGGAAGTACAGAGTAGAACAATGGTTATGAGACTGGGTGCAAGGTGGGTGGGACTGGGGAGGAGAAGGGAGAGATTGGGCAGTTGTTAATCAAAGGGCTCAAAGTTTCAGATAGACAGGGGAAAGGGCAGTTGTTGATCAAAGGGTACAAGGTTTCAGATAGACATGAGAAATAGATTTTGAAATTTTTTGCATACCAGGGTGACTAGAGTCAGTAATAATATATTACATATTTCAAAATAACTAAGAGAATAAATTTCACCATAAAAATAAGCAAGGTAACAGTTAAGTTAATTAACTTGTTTACTCATGCCTTGTTTTACACATACATTGACATCACATTTTACCCCAGATATGTATATAGCTATGATTTGGCAATAAAAAAATTCAATAAAATCATTTACTTGGTTAAAAAAAAATCAGTCCAAAGTTTCTGATGATCAAATTATTGGTTAAAATACAGCTTTAAAGTTCAGGTATTACTCATTTATATAGAAAGGTAAGGAAATGCTACATACATATTACAGAATGGTACAAAGTACCTGGACCGTATCAGCAGGCTCCCGAACAAATTGGATACCAGATCTGGATCTGATTCGTTTAACACTCTGTGGATCCCCATAGTCCTTGAGAGGTGAGGTAGGTGGAAAACGATGGCTGTCTTTACAATTCAAAGAAATGGAGGGGATTAAAACACTGCATGAGAAGAAACAATCTAAAATTTTACTCTGTACGTACACCCCAGATATGGATATAAAACAGACCAAAACTATTTCCCCAGTATCTTCCTGTGGCCATAAAGTTCCACAGAGCTGACACCAATCTTGCTCTTAGAGCAGATAAAATAATCTGAAAATAGAACATGTCAAAAGTTCCAATTTGCTATACTTTCCAAAGAAGTAACATATTTTCACATACAAAAGTAATAAATTGCTAAAAAAAAAAAAAACTTCAATTCTCCAATACAATGTTAATAAAACAGAATGTTTCAAATAAACTAAAATCTGAACAGTATATAAAAATCAATAAAAACCCACTACTAAAAAAGAATAGATGATAGTTTCCAATTTTTAATCATCATAATCAACAGCGATATTAACAAAATGAGGTACTGATGTCCAATCTATCTAAATCACTTCCCTTCATTACAAGACATTTCTTTTCTATTCAAACATGAATCCCAGTGATGTAGGAAAATGTAAGTAAGATTAATTAAGGCAAACTATGTGTTATAATCTTTAATCTAGCCATTGACATCTAACTGCACACCAAAACTAAAATTCACCTGGTCTTAACAAGTGTCATAAGATATTTCATAAGACATGTAAAAAACCATTATGCTAGGACAAGACATCTAACCCAGAAAGTATACCACATCGTAAATCTTATTTGTGTGTTTGTTTTGAGTCTTTGGCAGCAAACAATTAAATCCAGTTTTGTCAGGTAAAGCTGCATGTGTCCTACAAAGTATAAGAAAAATAAAACTAATAAAATAACAAAGACCCTTTAGTATATTTCGAAATATGCACCACAAATTTCTTGATAATTTCATGTTCTAACACCAAATCTATATGATGTTATGTATGCATTGTATTTTTCCAAAGATTAACTGCATTCAATATTTACTACAGACATATTTTTAAAACAAAAAAGGGGCCGGGCGCGGTGGCTCACGCCTGTAATCCAGCCTGAGAGGCCCGAGGCGGGCGGATTGCTCAAGGTCAGGGAGTTCAAAACCAGCCTGAGCAACGAGCGACCCACCCGTCTCTACTATAAATAGAAAGAAATTAATTGGCACTGATGATATATATAAAATTAGCCGGGCATGGTGGCTCATGCCTGTCAGTCCCAGCTACTCGGGAGGCTGAGGCAGAAGGATCCCTCGCAGCCCAGGAGTTTGAGGTTGTTGTGAGCTAGGCTGACGCACGGCACTCACTCTAGCTGCTGGGCAACAAAGCGAGACTCTGTCTCAAAAAAAAAAAAAAAAAAAAAAGGGTTTTCCAAACATTTGAAGCATTTACCTGCCACAGAGCCACCATCGAGGTCACTTGTACTCAGACTTGTAACAGAAATACTTCTCCCTCCTGAGTTTCTCAATAAACGTTGACTTCGCAGTTGGTCTATTGATTGTTCCAAGCTTTCTTTTAACTAAAGAATATAATGAAGAGTTATTCTTTTTAAACAATTTCCAAATAAAAACAGATTTTAAAAGCTATATCTGAAATGTCTAGGTTCCAAAAGAAGAATTTATAACAGATAACATTTTGAACTAAGTTATGTTAGGAAATTTTAAAAAAATAGTAAACATAAATATTTTAAGAACCAATGATCTCTCTCACTATCTATTCCATCTTCTATTACCAGAATGTGGAAGAAGTGTCTACTATCCAAGGGCTTACAAAACCAGATTAAAACATCTAATTCATATAGCATCCATGTAAAGAAACATAACAAGGCTAACATATCTGAAAGAGGAGAATGTACAGTATGCGGTTACTTGCACCTAATATCCCTGTGTATTTTTTATCATGTGATATTTTATATGAAAAACTGCAGAGATAATTTAAAGATGACATTATCCTTCAAAAGAGATTTGGTTTTGCTTCCAACAGAAAGTCAATAGCAATCCCAAATCACCCTAATCCAGTTAGGAATTGAGATCATTCAAAGATAGGCTTCTATCCCTATGAAGACTGCTCTATTTTCAGTTATCACTTCTCTTATTTTCAATTCACCATTTCTCCCATTCTATAACCCTTTGGGGTCTACGACTGAAAGCTGGAGGGTTCCTGAACTTCAGTTTTGGTCTCCCCTAGCCTCTTTTTTTTTTTTTTTTTTTTTCTGAGACCAGAGTCTCGCTTTCTTGCCTAGGCTTTAGGGGTGAGTGCCCGTGGCGTCAGCCTAGCTCACAGAACCTCAAACTCTGGGCTCAAGCGACTGCCTGCTGCCTCAGCCTCCCGAGTAGCTGGGACACAGGCACGAGCCACCATGCCCGGCTGATTTTTATATTATATATATATTGGCCCAATAATTTCTTTCTATTTTTATGGTAAGACGACGGGGTCTCGCTCAGGCTGGTTTTGAACTCCTGACCTTGAGCAATCCGCCCGCCTCGGCCTCCAGAGTGCTAGATACAGGGCTGAGCCCACGCGCCGGTCTCCCCTAGCCTCTTGAGTTGATTAATAATCCTAGCCTCTCTGCTTCTAACTCACCTCCTATGGAATCAGCAATCACCTTAAAGGTGGAAAAAAGTCCCAAATATAAGACTCATCCTTCAGGACATTTCCTTTTTTTGCCAGATCCTGAATACAAAATTCTTCACTGCCTTAGTAGTTCTCCAATAGATTCATAATATTATTTTTTATGTATTTTTCACATTTCTAGTTGTTCTTAGTAAGAGAATTGATCCAAAATAATCTTACCTACCAATGCCCAAAGTAGAACTTGTCAGCATCCCTTTTTAAAAATAATTTATTAAAATCTTTTAAAATAGAATTTTTCTTTAATTCTTTTTCACTTTTACTACATATGACCTGAAGAAGCATCCTTTTTGTGGGGGCTTATTTGCTAACAAATCCTAAGCTGTAACTAAAAGTTGATGAATAAAATGAATCTTTACACACACATACATGCTCCCTTCCACCAAAAAAATTTAAAAAGCCAACATACAATATACAGAAAAATATTGCATAACAAGAAAAACAAAACATTACCCCCAAATCAAGGAGGAATAAAAGATGTTTAAAAATCAATCTTTTCAAAAATAAGATAAAAAATTAGATAAACTATTTGTCAACCTCATTTTAAAATTCCAAAAATGAATCTATAAGATCCAGAAAACGAAATGTAAAAGTGGATGAATGAAACATAGACTATTTTAAATTACTCCTACAAGCATCATGGCAAAAATATGTTTCTCACCTAAAATGTCTCATTTTTAGATATAAAACTAAAAATGCAATAGAGTTTAAATCTACATTTAAAGTAGTAATAAGACAACAGACACTGTACAAAATCTAATGATGATGTACAAAACCAATTTGATAACTCATGAAACACAAAAAGTGATAAGATATAAAGTCCTAAAAATTGTTTTAAACTCTTTAGGATTATAACTCCTAATTAGGTATAAAGCCAAGCCAGACAAAGTTAAATAAAAACAATATTAATAAAACTCAATTTAACATTAATTTTCAATTTAACATTAATTTTCTTGTTATGCAATATTTTTCTGTATATTGCTGAAACTAAATTAATCTCAACCCAAGAGTGTGGTACTAACTACAATGGTACAAATTCTTTCAAGTCTACTATAACTACACCTCACCACATACCAAGTGATGATTCCATTTTCCCCTATCTAAAATCTGCAAAATGAACATCACAGAAAATGCTATAACATATTTTCACCTCAACTTAACATAAATGTATCATTTATAGATTAGGTCTATTCTTTTACCTATGCTCTTTTAATATTAGACTAAAACAATTGAAGCATTACTACTATGCGCTGGTATGAATACAAATAAAATTTGAGCACTTAAATTGAATGACAATATTCCCACTGTCAGCTATTTCTTTTATAACTCCACATATAATTCCTCTGTGATTTTAATTTCACATCCAGCACTATTACTTTTTTCTTTCTTTTTTTTTTTTGCTGCACTTTCATCTTTTTTGGCTAATTCTCTTTTTTCATTATTGATTTTTATAAAATAACATGTGGGTTTATTATTGGGGAACAAAAAAAATGTAACAGCCATGTTTCACTGTGACCAATCACTAAAAGACTGCATATGAAGTAATCTGTTAATTATATAGTAATGGGTGTCAATAAGTAGCAGCAAAGTTTATATTTTATGTAGTTACTCTTAGTTAACATACTGTGGTTACTAAAATGTAACTGCATTGTTTGGGGACCAGTGTTATTTGAGTAAACTGGAGTAATGAAATTCATGCACATCAGAACCATACAAGGACTGTGTGTATTTACTTTTGAGAGTCTTCAAATGGCTGCTCCAAGATTCAGTAGAGCTTTTACAGCCCTATTCAGTGGAAGAATATACTAACTCTATTTTATCTGGAATCAAAACTCTGTTTTGTTTTTGTTTTATTTTCCAGCATCATTGATGTATAATTGACAAATGTGGGAGGGAGGTAAAATTAAAAAAAAATACTAACTTTCCAAAGTTCATAATAGCAAGCTTCTTGAACTCTAAGAAGCTAAGATTTCCAAGCAATCATAAATATCTAGGAAACTAGGAACTAACTCCACAAACAGTATAAGGAATGCCTATGAAATAAATCATTTAATAAAATTGGGCTTTAATAACACAAGATAGGAAATGGAAAGGAACCACATGTATAAACTTCCTCTGTCAATATACAGCATCAGTAATAAACAGTTACTAACAAACACACATTCATATTCTCAGCAAAACTAATGCCATCCTTAACTAAGTTTGTTTAGGGAGAGGAAAAAAAAATTACACTGGTCATTAGGAAATTCATAGACGATGTCTACCATTATTTTCACAAAGAGATTGTAATAGAAATAAATTAGTAACAGTGGCTACAAAAAACTCACCAAATTTGCTTCCACACAAAAGAAAAACACACCTTAAGAAACAAAAAAGTAATAACCTTGGAAAAATTCTAAATGCTGCAATTTAAAGTATAGCTTGAATTTTGTAAACCATTTAGAGATTTCATTTCATTTCTTGAAACATTTTTTTTTTTTTTTGAGACAGAGTCTCACTTTGTTGCCCAGGCTAGAGTGCCATGGCATCAGCCTGGCTCACAGCCACTTCAAACTCCTGGGCTCAAGTGATCTTCCTGCCTCAGCCTCCTGAGTAGTTGGGACTATAGGCATGAGCCACCATGCCCGGCTAATTTTATATATATATATATATACATATTTTTTTTAGTTGTCCATCTAATTTCTATTTTTTGAGTAGAGACAGGGATCTCGCTCTTGCTCAGGCTGGTCTCGAACTCATGAGCTCAACTGATCCTCCTGCCTCAGCCTCCCAGAGTGTTAGGATTACAGGTGTAAGCCGTCGTGCTCGGCCATCTTGAAACATTTTTATTACAAATTGTCTTTTATTTTCATACTAAGAAAATATATCCCCTCATACAACATAGATTATACAGAAAGGAATGCTAATTTGATCATGTATAAATAACTGCATTCACCTGGCCGCATGCATGAGCATAAACTAGAAACATCTAAATATTTTGGTTTACTGTTCAGTTTTGTTTTTACCTGACACTAAAGGATCAGTATTTAGCAAACATTCACAATGTACCTAGCTAGCACTGGTGACCATGGAGACAGTTTGTGTTGAAAGTTTTAATATATCTATAATGTTGACATAAAAAAAAACTTAAGTACTTCCATTTATAAATGTTAAGGGTCAGACTGGCAAAATATAGGACAAAACTGGAGGTAGAAAAGAGGTCATCTGAAAAAGTTTGTCCAGGAAAATAATGTCATCCTTAGGGGCAAGTTGATTAAGTACATTATGCTTGGGTTTCCTTCACTACCTGTTTCTCTACAGAATGTCAAGGTTGATCTGGCAACAGATTATGAAATAGAATGATTGGCTATAAAGTTAATTTCATCAGCACTATTTTGGTTCCTCACAATATATTCATCTTTTTCTAGTAAGAGGAGGAAAGGAAGAAAAGAAAAACTTTTATAAAATCAAGTAAGAGTACAAATTTATCGTTTGCATACCTTTCTGATCCCACAATCCACTGCTGAAAGTTATTTTTTAAATGGTACCAAATGATCACTAGTTCCCACTGCTGTGCCTAACCTCTCTCCCTATGCTGGCTTATAGAAATATAAGCCGATAATAATATTCCTGAAATTTAGAAATTCCATTTCAAATAACATGCTTTTATTTATGTAGCTCTTTTATTTTTAAATGAAATTCCATATATCCAAAGCCTATACTATTCATATATAACATATACTCTAAACATAATTTTAAAAGACATGTTCAAACATTTCCACATAATATTTTAAATGTCAATAAATGAGCGCTCATGGAATGTGGAAAGAGCCCTTCATAGCAGTATAGTATTATTTTTTAGGTGGACAGATACTATACTGACAAACATAAGAGGGGGGAAATCATTATTATTCATGTTATCTAATTTAGCATATACTTAAAAATCAAAATAATTAGATACTTCTATCTTTGTGAATGTTGTGATATATTATGTTATTTATAGCCATGGTGATACCCACATGCAACCTGTAGTTAGGCCCAATGAACTGAAATAAAACTCAATCTCAGAAATGTTTAGTAACTTGCCCAAAGTCACTGAAGTAGTTTCTAGAAGAAAAATCAGAATTCAATTTCAATTCTGACTCCAAAGTCTACATTTTCCCACTAGCCTCAAAACAAAATTCTGTAAAAATTATATTCCTGTCCAATAGTTCTGAGAGAGACTTAGGAATAAAATTTTAAACAAGAGACTCTAACAAACTAATTCTCAAGATTTGAAATATATTTACAAAAAGAAGTTCTTAACAGAATGCAACTGTTTGATTAAAATTTCTTACCCATAGACTCTTACTACTTAACATTAAAGGTATTGAAAGATTATGAACAGTTTTTACCTTTGGGACAATCAATTAGTGACACTCAGCTAGGGAGAAAGGAGTAAACACCTTCAACTTTGGGATATTTCAAGTGGCTGTCTGGCTTTAAACCATTAACATTATCCTTTTGGGTTGTCACTACATAGATTTGACAACTGAAACCCATTAAATACAAGAGAAAACAAAACCTGGACTTTATAATTTAACATTCAATATTCTTTCAAAGTTCTCGTACCAGATGGTAAGAGCCTATTACTTTCAAAGGGAAATTTTAACTAAAGTACTTAATTAGAAAAAAAAAATTACCCATTAATGCAAGTCTCTAAAGTCTATTGTGATATTACTCTATTTTATCCAATCTTCACCTTAAAAATGAACTTAATCAATCTGCTGATTTGAATCAAGAGAACTGTATTTTTCTTTTATAACCAATATTAACAACTTCAGCCTCATCAGCTGCAGCCCAATTTCCCCTGCAGAAAGTATTAATTTTTTATATTGAATATTCTTTCTTGAGGGAATTCATTTTCATAGCATCAGCACAAGGACAGACCCTGTTCTCTCATGAATAGAAACACAGTTCTAGAAATATCTAAACACAAAGCTAATCAATTCCTCTATATAACACAGGAGTATAATTTGTTGCAAATCTTCACAGGTTTTAAAATAAAACCTCCTTCATATGTCCTCTTTGGCCCCAATGTTCTCAGACCACCCAAGAAATTCACAAGATGAGAAATAACACAGGATGACACTTCTTTAAGGTCATGAAGTTCATTGAGGCCAAAGACCAGAAGTCATACAATCCAACTAAATATATGAGTCATTGGCTATGAGAAAGGATAGGGAAAAAAACAAAAAATGGTAACTAAGAAAAAAGGGAAAAACAAAGCCAAGGGAAGCAACTCACAGAATTCACATTGCCTGAGTGGCAACTAGAACTGCCAACTTTAACAATGCTTCAATGCCAATCCTAGCTGAGCACTAGATTTCTTCCTAATTCTGTTTCTGCATTTCTTCCATCCAACTCTCACTCTAGACAACGTACCAGCCATACATTAATGACTTCTGTGACACTGGGCTCCTGTTTTGAATCAGTTAAGATAATCTCCAAAAGTTAGTTTATCAATGTATAATTATATAACCCTTTGAACTTTGTATCCAAAGTCCCAATTCTCAGGAATATAAATTCATAGTATCATGAAAATTTGAGTAACCATGACTCAATGAGGTAAATGAGTCTTGATGTGGGGTTTTAAAATAAGATCCTACCCTGGACTCTGTTACTTACACCCGAGGGACCATGGGCAAGTTAGTGACTACTCTGTAACCCAGTTTTCCTATCTTGAAAATGAGGATACTAACTGTATTTATCTGATGCGACTGTTGAAAGAATTAAATGAGCTAATATTTCAAAAAGTACCTGGGATATACCAAGTTTGTGGAGAAATTCCCAGAGACTATGAAACACTAGGGACCTCGTATGATCCTTTAATGCTGTCAACTCCTCACTGAGAAGCCTTCACATATTATAAGCAAATAGTTAAATTTAGGGTTGGAGGCAATAAAGATGCAAGGGAACAACAGTGAAATCATGTATATTTCAAGCAAAAGTAGTCAAAAGTGACCCAACATAACTCGGGACCCTTAGACTTTATAAAACCAACAAGAATAATTCTCACAGTTCCTCTGTTGGGGGAGATTATCTTAAGAAGAAAACATCCCACCAAATATTTATATTTCCAAACTCTTTCCCTTACTCAGTGATAAATTATGTTCACAAAGTTAAACCCCAAGAAAATAAATATTTAAATGCATATATATCACTTATATCTATTTCCTGAGGTTTAGCAATAGAATCATTTATAAAATCTAAGTTAATAATAAAAGTTCCTGTCTTCCCTAGCCCCAAAAGATTTGATTTCATTTTCTAAGAAATCTTTCATATTTTAAAAAAGGGATGCTAATTTCAACTAGGCAATGGATATTCAGCATGGTGAAAATTTCTTAATAGTTGAGGATTGGTTAAAATGGATTAACTTATTATACAATGTTTAAGAAGGAACAAAAAGCTTGTTCCACAGCAAAAAAATTTGTGAGGTGCAGCATAGTCTCAAAAAGAAAAAAAAAATCACCCTCCCGGCTTCCTTTGAAAAAAAAAGTTAGCTAATTCTACCATGTACTTTAAGGACTTGACAATTACAAATAGATTCAGGAAAGTGACATGATAGATGGCACACTACATACACCCATTTTTAGGTATGATATATTCCATGGCAGCAAATATTGTAATGTTAAAAAAACAATTTTCAATGAGGGGCCAATTAGAATCACTTGTGAGAAATACACCTTCTGAGTTGTGTGTCTTCCTGTAGATTATGGCATGTGTTTTCCCAGGTAATTTCTAGGTAGAAGGATAAAAATCATCACTGTATTGAGTAAAATATTAATGTAAAGCAATGAGTGACACAGTCCTCTGGTATGCTAGAGGGAAAAATAATTGAAAACCAACTACTTTAACAGAACAAGAATTTGGGAAAACTGAGGAAACTCTAGACCAAACTAGAGAACAGTGTGAGACAAAAAGAAAGATTCTCACTCTCCTATGTCTTTTTTTTTCATCTGAGTAGCTTTGCAGTCTATGTATTTATAACTTAGATGGAAATATCTGTTTAGTTTACTTCCCATGAATAAAACCACTCCCCTAGAGAGTTCAGCATTATTCAACTCTAGGTCTGTCATCGAGACTTAATACCACAGCAGAACACATTTTGTGTTTTAAATGGTTTTCTGTATAGAAGTTTCTCTAATACATAATTTCATTTCCCACTTGCCCAATTCAAAGGAAATTTACTGCCATAAATAAGGATCTAAAATTCAACTTGACAAAGTAGGATTGTTTTCTGCTAAAAGTTAACAATAATATTTTCAAGTTTGACTAATAAATTAAAAAGCAAAGACTCAATTCCCATTCTTAATAAGGTAATTAACCTAAAACATTCACGAGCTACCAAAATATACAAAGTCTCTAGCTCCATCTGTCAAGTACATCATAAATGAAAAAAATCCTGTAGGTGTAAGAATGTCCAAGTTTATTTTCTAAATATAAGTAGTAGAAACCCTTATGAGAGAACATATATTTCCCTGTGCCTAAGCTATTAGCTTCCAATTACAAGTGAATAATGATGACTATACTTTTACTTTGTAAGATGAAAATAAGCCACCAATTACAACCTGAGAGTTATATGACAATTCAGTACAGCACAGATATGGTATAGATGTAACATTAGTTTTCTCATCACATTGCATGTATACTCATCAATGCAAACATGATAAATTTCATTGGTTTTCAAGAGTTGACATAAGATGAGTAAGCAAATTTGAAAAGGAGAAAAAAATAGATAGAATTAGCAAAATATTAACTAAAAATACGGTATGCATTTTATTCTAGAATTTTGGGGTATCTTTCCTTCTTAAATCCTATAAGTGTAATAAACTGGCACATCCTTAAAGGGCAATTTTAAATATCTAGCAATTTTTATATACACATACCCTTTAACTCACAAATCCTACTTCCAGTAATGCTACAGGATTACAAAAAGAATACATGTACAGTGACAGTCATTGCTACATTATAATAACAAAAGAAAAAATTAGATATATCCATACTATAGAATGAAACTGTTCAAAAGAATGAGGTAGTACTATACAAAGTCATATGGAAAGTGATGACATTATTAAATTTATTTAAGTTGCATTATATTTTATGTAATTCCATTTTTTAAAGAAATCACACATATGTTTGTACATGCAAAGAAAATGTTTGGAAAGATACACAAGAAGCTGTCAAAATTGTTATCTTTTTTGAGTGGGGCTAAAAGGGGGTTTGAGAGAAGAGTTTTATTTTTTCAAAACAATGAATGTGTATTACTTTAAAATAAACTATCCTTAAAATTCTTAACTCCCGACAGAGACAGAGGATATCGGTGGCCCATGTTGAGCAAGTCTCTGTTCAATTCAAATCCTGAATTCTTCCCTCTCTGACCTAAAGCTTTCAAATTCAATAGAATCTAATCTATGTAATCTAGCTGTCAATCCATCTGACATGCTAACCTAAATTTAAACCATAAAATAGTAAAGTGTGTTTAAAAACCAAAGCTTTTCTCCTTTATCTCACATCCCCACTCCCCAAAAACTGCATTCCCAAAAGTGTGGGTAGGAGAAATGCAAACATATGTAAACATCCTCACATGTTCTATAGTACCCGCCTGTCCATTGCTATATTCTCGGTATCGTCCAAGCATGTGGTCCACTTGCCGCAGGTTCCGACTGGTGTCCTTGAAAGAAAATGAACTGTATTAATTGTTCCAAACACTGTTTTTCCCAATTAATCTTGGTAGTATGTCAATTAGCTAAGTCAACAGTTTTAAAAATATACAATTTATGTCATAGTTAAGTTGGATATCAATGCACTTCATAAATATCAAAGAAATCTAAACACCACTGAGAGAGAAACTCAAATCCAACTGCGGTTTACTTGTGTGAAATCTGATGCACGTAATTTAAATCCTTATTTAAGTTTGCCTAATATGTCAGCAATAAGACCATGCATTGAAAAGAATCCCCGTTTTCAATATGTGCACCTCAACTAATTCATTCTCTTTACAGAAAAAAAATCCCAAAAGAACTAATCTAATAGATGTGTACAAGAGAAGCAAATCATTAGGATCAGTGTTACTTCAATTATTACATCATCTCAGAACTTGATAACAGGGGGGAAAAAGTATCCATTAACCTTAAGTTATAAACAACAAATTTAGTTCTAATCACAATAGAAATGGTTTTCAGCAAAATATTCTAGGTTTCATCTTAGAGATTAATGGAGGCAATTCAAAAATATAGACTTATCAGTGTACCTCATTGGTAGGAAAGTACATGAATTCATACTCCAAAATTCCACTGTTATGGTAGTTTTAAAATGTTTAAAAAAAATAGGCCTTCTGATTTTTAAATCAAATCATGGCTTCTCCACCAAAAATTATCCTCTTCTTATCTAAGCACACTAATCCAAAGCAATTAAAAGCCAAAATCCATACTTATCCAGCCTAAAAAGGGATTAATAAGTAGGAAATAAATTCTATTTCTGAGTTTTCTTTTTCCCAGTATAACTATGTTACCCTTCCCCCACTTCTTTTCCTAAACCCTTTCTATGGAAAGGTTGGAAACTCAAACTTCCAAACACTGTCAAAAGTTGGTCTCTAAGTCAAAACGGCATCTCTGTATCATTCATCCATTTCTAATCTACCTCACCAAAACATGGTCAACTTCTCTAAAGGCACATGTCCAGAAGAAGCTAAACTATGGTAATTTCAACTGGTTTCACTCCCCCAATACATTATTTAGAAATATTGCTTCATCCCAAAACACTCTCCACAACCTATCATATATTCCAAATGTCTTTACTGACTGTGGTAGGCAGAATAGTGGCCCTCAAAGATGTCCAAGTCCTAATTCTCAGGACCTGTGTACATGTACCTTACATGGCAAAAGGGCTTTTACAGATGTGATTAAAGACTCTGAGATCGGGAGATTCTACTGGATTATTGAATGGACCCAATGTAATCACAAGCATCCTTAAAAGAGGAAAAGGGAGACAGGGGACTGTCTGTGACATGACTGATGTGACATGAGAAAGATTCAGCCCATCACTGTGGGCTTTGAAGATGAAGACAGCCACGAGATGAGATAGGTGGGCAGCCTAGCCTATAGAAGATGAGAAAGGCAAGGGAACAGGTTTTCCCCTAGAGCCTCCAGGAAGAAATGCAGCCCTACCAACACCCTGATTTTTAGTCCCATGAGACCAATATCAGACTTCTGACTTCAAGAACTGTTAGATAGTAAGTTTGTGTTGTTTCAAGACATTAGCTTTGTGGTAATTTGTTATAGCAGCAAGAAAACTAATACAGTAACTGAAACTATTACTTAGTTCAAACTACTTAAAATCTATTAAATGCAACCATTGTTAAACTAACCTGTAAAGTACTCGTTATACTGTTGACCTTCTCAGTGACTTCTACTGTAGGATAACTTCCAGTTTCCCTGTGAGTTGATCTGGCAGTCCATCGGCTCACTCGGTCACGAAAGCGGAAGTGGTCTGACTCACTGGATGATTCTGCCATTGATTTATATAAATCCTTCAAAATAAATTCAGATCAATGTCAATCAAATGGTAAAAATCAGGGAAATAAGATTAATTTAACTATTCACTTTTTGATCTTTTAAAGTATTTATTATGCCTTTAAATCTGAAATGTCCAGTTTTGAATCAAAAGTATAGTTTATTATATCCCAAACAAGAAGCAGTACAATTAATCAAAGTATGCATCTAAACTATCAATACAGTTTTGTCAACTTAACGGTAGCTTGCTTATGCCAGCAGTGAAGACGCCTGCAGAGCGAGTGATGAAATCGCAAAAGGCGTTTGCCACAGCTTGTTGAGAAGTGAACATTTTTCCTAGTAAGAAGTGGTCCAAAGCCTGGAAGAAGTGGTAGTTGGTGCAAGATCTGGTGAATACAGTGGATAACAGAGAGTTTCCAAGTCCAGCTTCTGTAGTTTGAGCAGCACTGTTTGTGTGACATGTGGTCAAGCATTGTCTTGCGAGAGGATTAGCCCGTCTCCATTGACCAATCTCAGCTGCTTAATTGCAAGCATCCTCACCATTTTGTCCAGTAGGTCGCAGGAGACATCCACTGTAATGGACTGACCCCAGGTTTCATGAAGCTTAGTGGATAACACCAGCACTGGACACCAAACAGGCACCATTAGCTTTTTTGATGAATATTCAGTTTTGGACTGGGTTTCATCACTTCATCTTTATCCAACCATTGTGCTGAACGCTTGTGATTGTCAAAAAGAATCCATTTTTCATCATATGAAATAATATGGTATAGAAATGACTTGCCTTTTGGTCATGACAGCAAAGAAAGGCAAGCTTCAAGATGATTCTCTTCTGATGCTCATTTAATTCATGCAAAACCTATCTATCCAGCTTCTTTACCATGGCCATTTCATTCAAATGGTCCAATATTATTGAAATACTAACATCAAACGTTGCTGCTAATTCACGCATAGGTTGCAATGGATTTGCTTCCACTATAGCTTTCAACTCATCATTATCTACTTTGGTCTCAGGTTACCCACGTGGCTCATTTTCAAGATTAAAATCACCACAACAGAACTTCTCAAACCACTGACACACTGTGTGTTCATTAGCCACATCCTTCCCAAACACTTGGTTGATTTTTTAAGCTATCTGTGCTGCACTGGTTCCATGATGGAACTCATATTCAAAAATAACATGAATTTTTGACTTAGTCATGGTTTCACAAAAATTGCTCTTAAAAAAATTTGAAGGATAATCAATCACAAGCCAAAATGTGCATTTGAAAGATGGAGGATGTACTTTCATAATAAAATAAGAAGTGTTAAAATGAAATGTCAGAGATATCAATTGTCAAACATAGCATATTTCATACTTAATAACCTAATACATTAGTTCTTGCATATCATAATTTCTACACACATGGCTTAAAAATACAAAAAGTGATTTTACCATGTGACTCTCCTCCTTTTATTTTCTCTGCTTTAAGAGAGCAATTCCTCAGATATGATTTTAGTCATGTTTACAATTCTCGATAATAATCCCTTAGATTGTACAGTGCTTCCAAATTTTAAAAGCACTTTCACATACAGTACCTCACTTAATCCTACCAACAACACTGTATGGTAGAGGAGAAAAACACAGAGAGTTTCTAAAATTATGACCTTGCAGGTATCTTAATATTAGTCTGATAAGAACATTGTATCTTTAAACATAAAAATACAACAGACACACAGCATGGCCTGCAATAAGAGAATCACATTCATTGTACAGGGAAAACTCTCATGCATCTTAATTTAAAATATAACAATTAAACAAATGGTGTAACAGAGGTACAAATTCTATAATGACAAATATATGAGAAGATGGTATCTTCAACAGTTCCACCAAAATACAAAGCCAAACATCCTGAGAATTTCATGATTATTCTCTCAACATGCTTTTCTCCCATCCTTATCTCAATTTTCTATTTAATGCATAAGAAAATTATTTCATGCAAGTAAATCTCAAAAGTTTCAGAAAACCTTTTAATAGAAGTTGAAGAAGCTAAATATATTTAGAACAAGGAAGAGAAAACTCAAGTGGCCAAAAGTGAAAGTTTATTGATTATCCCAATAATTTCATTTTCTGCTTAATAGAGGGTTAACTTAATCTTTATTTTAATATTAATTGCTATAATCTTCCTAAAATCAATGTGTCCATTTTTTCTGACTTATTTAAGTACAGTGTGATGAAATCTTTATTTAAGGATAGAATACTCTGGACTTTTGGATCTTTATTCTGAATGCATCTGGGAACTACATAAACATATACCTAAAGAGAAGATAAAAGGAATTTACAAAGTGTATATAGACCCTAGAGCATTTAATGAAAGCAACTGTGTTTTGAAAATATTAGATAAAACTAAAGAAAGAAAGAAAGAACTAAACACCCTTGCTGTGAGTTCAGATGCTTCAACATGAAATACAGCCTGTCCTTGCGGCATCAGAAGAAGGATCAATAGAATATCCAAATTCTTCACTTTAGCTGAGAGAGAGTTAGAAAACATCCTCAAACACATATGCTTCTCCTCTGCCCATCCCATGCCTCTTTACTTCCTTCTGCACCTGTCTTCTCTGGCTCTTGCCTCCCTTCTTCTAGGCATAAGCACGAGGGCACAGTGCCCACAGTGTAGCTCCCATCCATATCAGGAAACATGAACAAGAAACTAAGGCTGAAGCAACTGTTTGGCTTCTTTTTCCTGGCTTACGATTGTGTAAGTCCAAAAGAATAAAGAAGAAAAGAAAACTTACATTTAAAGTTCACCTTTTAAACAGGAAATCACTTCTGTGTGTATCTCATAAATTTATGCTACATGACCTAAATCTTTTACTCTAAGTTAAAGTACTTCCCTGCACTTTCCATTAGTGAAAGCAGGTAAAATCAACAATTTCTGAAAGCCTGCTATTATGCCAGATACAACGTGGATCCTTAAACAGACAACCCAATTTAATTCTCATAATAAATTATTAAAATGAACACTATTAACCCCTAATTTATAGAGATGCTAAGGCCAAAAGGTGGTAAGCAACATATCCAATTCCAGGCAGCGGAATATAAGTAGCAACCCAGGATGCAGACCCAGGATTTAGCTAGCCTTTTCTGTCTTCAATACTACATTCATTCCAGTGTGTTCTGTTATCCATTATATACTAAGAGTGAACAATCTGCACAGTTAATAAAAATTGCTAAAGACAGCAGCAGGCCAGGGCTTACATGTGTCTATGGTGTCCTCAACTCCCTCTATTTCATATCAGCATAAAAATACCAGAAAGAGGGGGGAAATATCAAGAAGTAAGATGAAATCTTAACTTGGAACCAGGGAAAAATATGAAGTGACCCATCTATGCTACATTAAAATAAAGAGTGCTGCAAACAAATTAAACCATTGGCCTCAGAGCAAGGTTTTTGTTTCCTGATTCCTTTTACCTCTTGTATAAAAGAAAATAATAATTATGCCTGGGATCTGTCTCTTTCATATCAAAATTCTATTGCTTAGAGTATAATTTCATGTTAACGAGTCATAATTCTGGAAATTAAATTGAAGTTAAGAAATCTTGAAGCAGAATAAAAATGTGATATTGAAAAAGACAATGCTTACTATAATGGTTGCTGATGAGAACAAGGAATAAAATAACTATCTTTGGGACTTGATTTTTCTAAGAGTATCAAAATTTTAATAAATATTTATCTACAAATCACTACACTGGAAATAAATGGTATGTCAGACACTTCTAAAAAGTAGACAATTTGAGTTTCAACTTGACTAAAGAAGAATTGTAACTGAAATTCTTATGCTTTTTTTAATAATTGGGAAAAATATTTAAATTAGAAAATAGACTAATAAAATAAGCATGCATATATCTACCACCTAGAACTAATAAATGGTATCATTCTGACATGTATACCTTCTAATATTTTTTAGTAAAATATTTAGAATATTACAAATAAAGTGGTAGATATGACCCTACTCTTAACCCAATACTGTTCCTGTCCCACCTCCCCAGTAATAACCATTAGCAGGATTTCATGTATTATATAATCCTCCAGGACATGTTTTTATACTTTTACCACAAGCATAGGTACCTCAAAATCTTTTGTATGAAACATGCATTATAGTCAATTGATAAATATTAACAAGTGAAGACATGGGATAGTGAATTTAACTCTAAAACAGAAAATCTTCATGGCATTAAATAAAATTAAGAACAACATTAACTAAATTATCTCCAATTGTCATATAATACAGGGAAAAAAATGACCCCTCACTTACCCCCACTGGGATTACATACTTTTAATAAAATAGAATCACACTTTCCAGCATGAGTTTCACGGGTACATACACACAACGTCTTCAGCTAATAATTTCAATTACTTTGAGCAATAAAAGATGTTCAAACTCCTGCATCTGATGGAACACCTGCAGAGATACCAAGATTTAAGAGGAGATATATGAGAAATTTGCATGGCTTTTTTTTAAGCATAAGAAACACATACTTAGCAACCATCTAAGGACCTTAATTACTTAAGTTTCATAAATGTTGAACTAAGGAAAATTAAAGACTGATTATAATAAATAGAAAATAAATGATTTTGTTGTTAATAAATATTTGGCATTTTCTTTAACTATTACTGACAATTCAAAAAGTCAAACATGACTCCACTCCCATAGCTAATTGAGAGAACATGTAACCTTCAGTGCCAACATAAAAAGCAGCTACGGTGGCCAAGGTCTATCCTTACCACAAGATGCCAGTCTATCATCAGCTTATACCACCCCTCCCCAAATACAGGGTTGATGGAGGGAAAGAAAAACAGATGAGAATAGAGTGGCCACCAAAGTTGACAAGAGGCTCACACCACATAATTGGAACCTAGGGTAGAATGTATGAAAGGCCATGAAAATAGTTCCAGAGAGCCCTTTAATATAACTGACTCCAAAAATACAAAGCAGTGTCAATTATATACTTTTCATTCATCATTAACAATGTATTATTTTACACAATTAAAAAAGTAATTTAAAAAAAGTATGGTGAATCCTAACATCATTGGCATTAATGAAAACTTACTAGGCCTCTGAAAATATTCTCCCCAGTGAAACTTTACCTTATATATTAGATTCATTCCATGTTGATAAAAGCATACCAAGAGTGCTCACATAGGAAAATAAATATACATGGCCATGAAAAACTGTTCAACTGAATAATCTAAGAAATGTAAATTAAACAAGATGCCTTTCTGGCCTATTAAATTGTTTTCTTTTAAATAATAATGTCTATGGTTAGACAGGTTGTAGTGGAAAGAGCACTCTTACACTGTTCTAACAGGAATGTGTAAATTGATACAACCTGTCTGGATGTCAGCAGGCAATATGCATCAAGAACAACTTGTACCTTTGATCTAGTAAATGCATTTGTAAGATTTCCCCTAACAAAATCATCTAGAATATATATATGTTTCTGTACATAATTTGTGTATATAATTGTCCATATATATGTATAGTTATCATGAAGTTGTAATAGAGGGAAAATAAAAACAATTTAAATTTCAAAATATAAGAAAATGGTTAAAATATGTTACATCCATACCACGAACAGTACACAGACTTTAAAACTCGTTTCTAAGAACATTTTATGGCAAAACAAGTGATAAAAGTATGAATTCCAACTTTATAATAAACTATCTGTATGCATATATAAATTATCAGTATATAAATTTAGAGGTGCAAGAAAGAGCAGAGATAAAAGGGGAGGAAAACACACCAAAAGTATGTATTTACCATCCAGAGTTCATAGTCAATTTATATTTATTAAATATTCCTATCTTTCATAAATTTTCAATAATGAATACGTATTGATGTATAATAAGGAAAACTATAATGTCTACTTAAAAGAAAGAAAAATATAAATATCAACTTCAGATCTAGCAGGTTAATAGGCTGATAGCAGATTTAAAAACTGACAACCTAGAAAATGAGCTTAAATAAAAGCTCTATATTCAGAACTCCCTTCTTCTTGGTACCTGTTTCCTTTTCCTTCCTGGCAACTTCTTGAGCTTACTTCCTAATCCCCTATCTATTAATGGATAGGGCCATGCCACTAGTTCTCACCAATTGATGAGCTGAAAAAAATGGGATCACAATACCAATCTCTATTGTTTCATACTAAAGAGCACTGGCTGAACAAAGGAACAATTTATCATGAGTTTATGAGCTAAAAGAATTGTTTTAATTGTAAAAACTCTTTGTAGCTTTGCTGAAGGATAGTTATTAGATTCAAAAACTGACTCACTTAAAGAAATACTCTAAATACTAGAATGACTTAAAAATTGAAGGATTATGTAAAAATATATTAATGTGTACTGCCATTGCTTATGTAATCAAATTCCACTTTGGGAAACAAATTAGCAATGGCTCATGAGTAATATTTAATCACTATTACAATTTGAAGCCCAAAGAAGAATTACTAAGACTAGAAGAATAAACAGCTATGTATGTTCAAGGAAAATCTTCATTATTATTTTTAAAGATGTAAAAGAAAAAAGTTCAATTGGATCAGGAATTTATTCTGATTATCATAAGAAATTTCAGTATAATACTAAGTGAAAGAAAAAAAATTTCTAAATTTGAAGAATGATTATACTCTTAAAGAAAAATTTGAAGAAACTGAATTACCTAAATTCTGGTTAAAGATAAGTATTTCCTTCAATTAGAAAAAAAAGCAGTAAAAATTCTTCTGCAAGTTACTACCACCTGCTGGTGCTGTCTGCTTTTCAAACTCTGAGCTTTTTCCAAGACTCTAGAGAGAACTAAGATGGGTGACCTTGGGTGAAAGTCCCTAGAATCCTAGAGAAAGCTCTGGGTCTGAAAAGCAGATGGTACAATTCTTAGAATAGTTTATTTAGCTTCTCTCAACACATCAGTATTTAAAAGCATAAATATTATTGCCTCTGCCTTAATGAACCTTATAAAGAAGACATATGGCCACCAGACAAGTAATGAACCCACATCAATGCGCTCCCACTGAGGCTCTATCCATCTAAAAGAAATGCCCGTATGTAATCCTAAACACAGCAACCAGAGAGAGTAAAACTGCATTGAAACCTTGTAATAAGAGGACTGGCAATGAGCCTTTACAAACTCAAGTCCACCTCTTTTGTTATTTGACCTAAAGAGCCATCAGATTGTCTTCATTATAATGATGCACATTTGTATGTATGAGAGCTATAATTTATTGATTCTCAAATCTCTTTTCCTCAGAGCCAGTTTAAAACAATTAGGATTTGCAAGCTGTTCCATAAAAGATAAGCACCCAGCATCAGGGGTGATATTTCACAAAGACTGACTAGTGCATGTTAAGTAGGAGATTGCTTCTGTAGCCTCCAGGTGCCTCAGCCATCCCTGTCCTCAAAGATGATGTTCAAGGTAATGATGTTGATATTTAGGGGGGTGAGGGGAGATAGGGAGTGTATTTTAAGCTTAATCATTAACCAAGTTAAAATTTTAGAATATATTGCTCACTGTTTCAATAGTTGTACCACTTGAGCTTTGCCTAACCCTTCAAGTGAAAAAGTTAGCAACCCAGCAGACATTACCACATAGAAACAATTATTGATTACACCTGTCTTCTTCATATCAATGTTCTTCCATAACTTCAACTCCTCAAACCCTTTTTGGTAAATTTATATAAGAATATAAGATCAAAATCAGTTGTCCAGTGCCAGTCCATCAGCCAGTTCTCTCTTATGTTGGTTAATAGTGTAAAACAGAGGAAACACAATCAGATACTTAAAACAGATTCATTCATTCATAATTTACTGAATTGTCACTACATTAGAAATGAAACATGAAAGCAAATAAGTAAGTCACAGTCCTTGATGAGAGGTTAAGATTTGTAAGGTTAAGATTTCTATATGGTGAGCTAAGTAATACAACAAAATCCCAGGGGAGTTAGGTCAACATGCTTCCATTCCTCATAAAGGACGAGTAAAGGTTTGACAGGAGGATAAGAAAAGGAAACAAGACCCAGTTAAAAACTGTCTCAGAGAAACTAGAGAGGGTCCAAACAAGCAGAGCTCTTGTATCCTTCCCCCATGGCAGTTATGCCTTCATCTGATTTTCATGTATGGTTTCAGGTAGTATGGACTGTTTTTTAAAAATGATCCTATTATCATCAAAAGAAAAGAAAAACATTTGAAAGCTATTACCATAACTAATGAATAAAACTAAAGAATCTTGAGTGGAGAGTGACATGGTAAAAAGCACATCAACAGGGAGATTAGTTGAGAGGCTACTGCAATCTATTAGATACTAACTGGTGAGCACCTAAGACAAAGGCAGTAAAAGATGAATGACAAGCTTCTGGTTTTGGTAGCTACATGGATCACGGACTATTAAACTGAGCAAGGGAATCAATGAAAAGGAAGAGCTTTTAAGAGAAGGTATGTTCTAAATTGAACTTGTCCAAGCTTCAGTTAGGATGGGAGACTCAATTTATGTATCATGGGAAGAAATATCAAAGAAAAGACATCTAATAAGCAACTAGATATATGGATCTAAGGAAATATTTGAGTCATCAGTATGGGGGTGGATGATACCACCAAGGAAAAAAAATGCAGTGAGAAAAGAAGTAGAAAAAGAGAAAACCCCTGAAGAGCCCCAATATACAAAAGGCAACAGAAGAAGCTGGCAAATGAGACTGAAAACAAACATGAGAGGTCGATGGAAAACTAGGGGAAACAATATAACAGAAGTTACAAAAAGAAGTGTTTCAAGAAAGTAAGAAAAGAACTATTACAAATTTTGCCAGTTAACAATGTATTGCCTCTCAGTTCCAAATCCATACCTCATTGTCTGCTCTTTGAAAACAGAGCTGAGCCCTTTAAACATTTCTCCTTTGTAGCGAGCGTAATGTTAGGCTTTGTTAAAGAACCTGATGAAAGGAAACTGCAGGAGGAAGGGGCTTCTCTTCTGGGTTCCAATGTTTTCCACCTGTTGCATTTCTGTTTCAGCATCCTGTATGAGGGGCATCCAGTGGTACTCATCCCCAACAAGTTTCAGCGGCACCCCCATTGGGCAGCTTCCCATTAAGTTTCAGTAGCACCATCCCAACTCTGATTCTCAGTGAATCTCACAGGTACTCTCACAGTCAATCCCCCAGCTTCAGCCTACCTGCACCCCAGAGAGGTGTTTTCTGCCCTTCAGTCCTAGTTGCAGTTCCCTGCCTTCCAGCCTCATTCTGCCTTTACCTAGGAACAGTGTTCCCTGCTTGCCCAGTGACTGGACCAGCTCTTGCCTAGGTAACCCAGCAGGTCTCTCCACCATTCAGTGGATTGCAGCCACACCTTCTCCAATAAGGTCTGAACCCCAGCTTTGCAGAGGGACCCCTCCAAGTTTATACTTTCCTTGGACATTCTCCCTCA